CAAATATTTGGATCCTGAGTTCCTTAAGCACGAGCTGAGGACTAGCGAGGAAGATACGCTGGGCACCGTCAACAACATAGCGTTGATCCTCTATCATCAAGCCAAGTATGACGAGGCTCTCAGACAGTACCAGAAAATTTTGGACTGGAAAAAGAGGGTCTTGGGTGAAAACAACCCGGAGACTCTCGTTACAGTCCGTTTGATCGCATCGATTCTTGGTATTCAAGGCAAGCACAGCGAGGCCTTAGAACAATATCAGAAAATTATAGCCAGTAGAAAGGCCTCAACCGGTCAACAATTTGGTTATCAGGGTGTAAATGATGATGACTTGGCGGCCCTTGATACGATGCACAGCATGGCTACAGCCCTCTACCATCTAGGCAGGTACGACGAAGCCTTTAAACAATATCAGGAAGTGCTGGCTGGGAAGGAGAAGATTTTAGGCAAAGACAAGTCGTCGACTCTCATCACAATGAACAACATGGCGGCGATCCTCCAGGAGCAAGGCAAAACCGACGAAGCCTTAGAACAATATCAAAGGGTTTTAGCTAGCCAAGAAAGGATTCTACAGCGGGACAATCCATCTATCCTCACAACAATAAACAACATTGCAACTATCTTCAACAAGCAAGGCAAGTACGACGAAGCTCTCAAATATCACCAAAGGGTCTTAGCCAGTAGAGAGAAGGTTTTGGATCCGGACCACCCGGCTATTTTCTCCACGATCCATGATATAGCAGCAGTTCATTATAACCAAGGCAAATATACTGAGGCTTTACAATGGTATCAGAGAGCACTAAACGGCCTTGAGAGGACTATGGACTGGGATCACCCGTCTATGCTCGACACAGCTTGCCAAATAGCGTCAGTCTTCACGATCCAAGGCAGATACGACGAAGCTCTCAAAGAATATAACAAGATTTTACCTGGCCAAGAACGAAGCCTAGGGCCGAATCATTCGTCGACCCTTAGGACAATTCATAGTATAGGGTCAGTTTTCAATCATCAACAAAGGTACAATGAAGCTCTTGAACGATTTCAAGTAGCTTTAGCTGGCAGAGAGAAGGTTTTAGGTGAAAACCATCCTGATACTCTTACTACAATCCACAACATCGGAATGGTTTTACATAGCCAGGGGAAACATGCTGAAGCTCTACAATGGTTCCACAGAGCTTTAGCCGGTCGTGAGGCGCTAGATCGGGATGGTGTGTCAACATTAGATACAGTGGACCGGATAGCGTTGGTTCTTGTCAATCAAGGCAAGTATAAAGAAGCTCTGAAATGGTGCTCTAGAGCTCTAGCTGGCCGGGAGAGAACCTTGGGTAAGGATGATCCACTGACCATCACTTCAGCCAAAACAGCGGCTTCTTGTAAGAAAATCGTGGCTGAAGAACGCTGTGTTATAACATAAATAACGACTTCAGGAGGAAGGCTTGGGGTCAAGGGGTAAAGGTCGGGATGTATGTAATTATATTTAGTATTATACACCAGGCAGTCTTTACAACCATCTAGATTTCTCAGTAAAATAGTAAACGAATGGCGTCGGAAAAGATGATGCCACATAAATCTTACCGCAAGGTGTCGAAAGAGGAAACCTTAGGAGCCTCTTAATCTTCATTCTGTCTAGCTACCACGAAATCTAAATACAACAAGCCCAACACCTTGTTTCCTTGTTATCCAACCTAAACTACAACCACATCCTAATGTATATATAGTAAATCAAGGCGAATCCTCCTGACTCAAATACTAGCTGCTACTAGATCCAGATATTGACACCGATATCATGACGCAAGGCCTCAAAAAGAAAGGGTCGGGTTGCCGTTAAAGACTACTCGATCTGCTTGATTTCCGATCTTCGAATTGTAGTTATTGAACTGGTTTTTCTATCATTTTTTATGAAGTTAGTTTTGGTATTGTATTTAGGGGGCAGGAAGCTTAAGTCTAGCAAATGTAAGTAAACCTACCACTTGGTATTTTGCAGGTTGGCGATCGGTTGGTTGGTCCGACTGGCTCCACCGCTCCACAACTGCCTTTGTGAAGGCCGCAGCTGTAATCGCGGCGTACTCTTGCCAACTCTTGTTCTTGTGGCTATCCGCGTAGTCGCAAACCCCTTTGATCAAAATGCAGGGAAGGTATTCCCATACACCCGCGGCCTCCATATCAAAAGCGATGACACCATCTCTTCTTGCAACATTGTCGCGGAAGGTAGCGGACTTCACAACTTTATCACCAGACGCAACTGAACCGAAGTGAATTTTCGGCCTCGGCCTCGGATCTGCAGGCCGTACTAGTTCATCCTGATCACATCCCAATTCCTCACATGAGGAAGTCAAGGCACTTTCGCAGACTTCTACACCGTTTTGACATCTTTGACCGATACAGTTAGCCTTCGTTTTCTGGTGAATGTGCCAGTAGTCTGCCGGATAAAGAATGTCTTGAAGATTGTTGATCTTTTCTGCGCTCCATGGCTGAAGCATAGGAGCGAGGAATTCATTCGTTCTTTTGTCGAGTGCCTCTCTCCCAGCTTCCAGCTTCCTAATGAACCCTCGAATTTCAGACCCTTGACGTCCCAGTCCATCTTCCGGGCTGTCCTTCCTGATGAACACATTTTCGAACTGCCTTCCAAAGTCGTAGTGGACGACTTGTTTACCGACAACGACATCGCCAAGCATAATGCCTTCCGCCCCCTCTCCTGGTACCCCGCCACAAATTCCAACAACTAAGGCAAGTTTGATATTTTTGAAGCTCTGCTTCAAACTCACTGCTACAGCAGCTGCGGGGATTTTTCCCATACCGGGCATGTGAACCAAAACCACATTGTGGCTACCGACCTTACCTACTGTGTATGTATTTATGTCGCCAGCTGCTTTTCCAGTCCCACTACTAGATTCACCGTTGCCGGTATCTTCGCTTCCCTTTTCAAATATAGTGCTGACCGCAGTGGCCTCCAGAGGTAAGGCACATATGATGGCGATCTCGAAGTTGTCTCGGTCAGAGGCCATTCTTGTATCTTGTAGCAGCGAGATAGGGATACAATTGTACAAATAACAAATAACAATAGGAATATGGTAGAGAATATCGATTCTGAGTTTCTATCAGATGTAGGTAGGGCCGTTTCTGTTAGCCTATAGGATCCTGTCGAAATATACGTAAGAATGATACAAAGAAGGAAGATACTAATTAAGGTCAATAGCGAAGGCCTTCTATTTAAACCAGAGGTGGAGGTAGCTTGGTCAACCTCGTGTTCAAGAGCATGCTCGCGCAAAAACTTGGTTCATTGATCCCTAGCAGGTTCATTAGCACTTCCGCTCCCGCTCCCGTAGTTAGTTCGCGCGTGCGGAATGACCCGTAGTTTGTTTGTCATTATCTAATAAATAAGCGCCAGGTCTGCAGAGTGCAAGTTGACTGGTCTGGTGACCGCCCCATTGACGACGACCGAAAGCAGGATTTGTTTCGGAAAGCGAGAGGATTCCTCAGAGCAAACCTCAAAATAAATAAAACAAAGAGCCTCGCGGCCTCTTCGCCAGTAAGGTCACAAGATTAATCAATGAATAAACGTTGCCTTACGATGTGACGGAGGTTTCCTCTACAAAAGCGCAGGACACCCTTCATGCGACCCTTGATTCAACAAGGCTTAAGGAAATAACCATTTTCAATACCAATTCACAGACTGTATTCGAGAGGTGTTCTCGTAGATATGAGAATAGATCTATCGAGGGAGGGGTTGGCAACAAATAATATTTCTTCCATCTTCGCCTAGGTATTAACCGCCTACACTGTCCAAGGTCTCTCGACTGGGTGGGTCGGCTCGTCAGCATCAGCCGGATGTCCGTAATGGAGTTCTATATATAGGCTACGGAAAAAGCCTAAGGGTTGAGACTTTTTTATCTTGACAAAGCATTTGGGAGCTATTTCGTCAAGGTGGGGATCGTAAACTGGAGGCTTATTCGCCTGAACAGCTGAATTCAGGTGTTATCATGAATTCATGTGAATCAATTGAGCTACCGATAATACTGATATATATGCTGCATGCTGTGGGCACTTGGAAATCCAATATGGAGTAAAATTAACTCTACAAGCAAAGGGTTCGCGGCTATGCTTATTGAAAACCTAGGCCATAGACCTCTACTCCTACTCCAAGAGCTCGAGAGTCGATAAGGCACAACCGTGAGGCCTGGGCATATAAGTGGTAGCGTCCTGATGTATGCTGTCTCAAAGTGTGTTGTTTACCAGGCCCTCAGAGCGCTGTGAACCTTCAAAATTTAAACATCATATCCAAACGAACTACGGCTTTGATAGGGCACGGCAGGCGAACAATCTGTACTACATCCATCAGGTATTCTATGTAGCCAGGACGCCCAGATTTAACTCTGCCGATTGTTGCATTTTGGAGACACTAAGACTAAATCTAACATCGATCCCAGCTCACACTAGCCTAGTTGCAAGATATACTGGTCTTGAGCACTCAGTGACACCTACAGCTAGCTCGAACAACAGCCCACTATAGTAGCTCTGGCCATACGTTAGAGTAAAATAAATCGGCGAGTTTCACACCGTCCTAACATATATAACCCATCAATCAGCAAGGCCACACCGGGGCACACATCCCCCAACCGTGACCATCCCCCAACCGTGACCATCCCCCAACCGTGACCATAGAGCCCAGCATGGCAATGGCAATATGGGTATGCCAACAATGTGTTGTTAGTCAGATCGTGGGGAAAAGATGTCTAGCTAGAAGACCCCCTTCAGCCTAACAAATTAGCCTACGGAAAAGTACGAAAACCTGGTTTCGAAATTTCCTGTAAAACCCAAGCAAGAAAAGAGCTACATTATCGAAAAATCTCCAGTTACACCACCAACGACCGCTGTCTATATATTGGTTCTGGGCCGGTATGCACAGTTGCAACACGCCAAACCGAGATCACCGCCAGAATGGGAAGTTTTCCAGCAAAGCAAAAGATTGCCAAAAAAAATCCAAAAAAGAAAGGAATCAACTTTGCTCATAACCTGGATCGAACAGGTGACCTTTGCATTACAAGTGCAACGCTCTACCACTAAGCTATACGAGCTTTGTTGAAGTCCGATGGAACAAATGTAGTTATATTGCATGAGGCAAATTGTCCTCTCACGAGCTTTAGGGGCCAGGGAGGCCCTCTGAGGCTCTTTAAGAAGCGAAATGGTGGGTTTGAATACCGGCAAATGGTGCTACGGCCCCTTCGATTGGTATTCAATGTTTCCCGTGGTCGGCGCTATGTTATTTAGTCAATAAGAACCCAGCTCGCCCTCTACACTCTAGGTGTCTACAGCGGCTAATCAGAGTTTCGAAATTCAACTCTGATATTGGACCTAAAGGATGAGCGACTCAGCGTTATTGTCGGATTAACGGCCAGCGTAGGGAGCTAGATGGAGGCCCTGTTCGCCCTACAAAGCTCGAAACGATAGGCCAATAGGTGCTTCATGTGGGTAAACTTACCCGCCTATTGGCGACCCCGTATTCATAACCCGAAAGTCTATTCACATACACGGTAGGTCGGCGGCAACTATCGAAATTAATCTATTTTACGTACAATCAATGAATACCCCGCAGTTTGAGTTCTAGATATATTACCTTTGATAAACAAAGGACCCTGCAGCCTGTATACACGGGGCCCGCCTAAAGTCCAACGACCAGGATAATAAAGTTGTGGTTAGTCTTTTGAACCCAATCAATCGCTTCAGCATGATACAGATGCGGGAGAGAGAGAGAGGCGCGAGACATCGGCCATTGTTCGTCTAAAGTTAACTTCGGGTTGGTCGACAATCTGGAATGTTAGTGCTCAGAGATCTGTCCTTGCACACTATTATGATTGAAATAATTATACTATAGGGTCGACTCTCCATATCTCCGCCAGCTATAGCCGGTATACTGGAATGCCAAAACTGGATTCACGTGAATTTAGCTGTTAGCTTTTACGCAATTTTTGCTGCCAGAGATCCCGAGGATCTGGTCTGTTGTCATGAGAGGATCTCCTAAAAATGCAAATAGACAGATCTTCAAGCCACGCATGACTATCAATTGGCCAATCGACGTGTCGATCAAAAGCCAAAACCTGTGTAACACCAATGCTTACAAACTTATCCAACGTACGTCACCAAAGCGTTGGAGTATGGAATAAAATCCGAAACTTACGTTTGGTGGCACAGGTATAGGTATCGTATCGATCACGTATGCCAACCTACAGGTCAGCTGTTTCCGAATTTCTCCAACACGTCTACGAGAATCAGGCGCTTAAAGGTATCAAAACACTGTTTTGTGTAGGTATACCACTCAGATAACGAGTGTTTCTCGATTCTATTTTGTTTTTCTTCTAGCTCGGATGTAATATATTCTACCTTTCGGTACGACAGGATTTGTATGTAACAGTTGGGAAGGGGGGGAAGGTCACAGCGGTCGACGCTTGGTAGTTGGCTGCCTACCAATGTACAACGAATGGGTAGGCAGCTCATGATGGGAGTTTCTCGGAGATTTGGGATCGCTCACTCGCTGGAAAGAAAATGGCTTCTGAAGAAGTAAAAAGAGAAACGTATCTGGGTATCCATTTACAAAAAGAGTATGATCACGCTGTACAATGTGTAGGAACAAAGGGAAAATGCGAAAGAAAAAATGGGAACAAAGGAAACCAGCTAAAAAAGAAGTAGAGTAACACAGAGGAACGCCGAGTGTGAAAAAAGTAGACCACCAGGAAAGAACAGGCTTTTCTGGGAGATGAATCAATCGATACAATCGTACTGTTCTCGTTACATACATGTATCCAAGAAACTCCGATTGCAACGGTGCTCAATCAATGGTAGAAAGTGTATGAAAAATGGGTAGCAATAAAAGGAACAATCAGTACATGAAAGGAAGAAGAATCGAGTCAGTGACTCGTTTGTAGAATGGAGGATTGAGATGGGAAAAAGCCAGCAATGCCCCTCAATCACATGTCCGTGCTCAAGAAAATATGTAAATCTAGCTTACAAGTGACGTGGGCCACGGCGGAAGAATCTGCGATGTCGAGCGTAATGAGGGACGTACTCCGTGGCGGTCTCGACGGCCTGGTTGTAGACAGTCTGGTACACAGTCTCAACAACGGTAACAACGACTTCTTTGATCTTCTTGTCAGGCACACTGCCGACGTTGAGGACTGGGTTGGCAGTGACAGCGGGTTTGGGAGGGGCTGGGGCAGAAGCAACCTTAACTTCCTGTGTTGTCTGCTTCTTCTTCCTTGTCGTGGTAGAAATGGTGGTTGGGGTTGGGGTTGGAGTCGGGGATTCAGTAGTCGTCGTGTGTGGAGCGGCGTGTGCAACGACCTGGACGACGGACGAGGATGGGGCGGCGACGGCGTTTTCGACGACGACTTTTCCGCAGTCGCCAGGGGTGCCTCCGACGGGGTTGCATCCAGGTAGCTTTTCGAAGGGACCTTGGTACTCTTTCCCGGTGATTGCCTTGATCTTACAGGCGTTCATTTCAAGTGGGCCCTGGAGCTGGTTGCGGGATGTGAAGGTGTTACACTGTGTGATATCACCACCGGTGGAAGTGATGACAGGTGGGACGCAGGTTGGATCTTTATAAGCGGCTTCGAGAAGCTCTGGATCCCACCCGTTGTAGAAGTCACCGTGGTAACCGTATCCTATTGACAATTAGTATTCGGCGCATCTAAAGTCGGATTAGGTTTGGTTCTTACCTTTAGTATCGCCGGTAGCCCAGACGAATTCGCCATCAACGTCACTAAATTCGGCAACATCGAAAAGGGTTTCAAATTTCATTGTAATGAGGCGGCGAGGATGGGATTCGGGGCAGGTCCCGTCTTCCATGAAGGAAGGATATGCCATATGGCTGCGGTGATCCTCGGAGTCGAGTTCGCCGTTCCAGCAAGAAGGGAAGGTAATATCTGCACGGAGACCGTTGATGCAGTTCTTCATCTCTTCTTTGGTGGGCATCTCGCGACGGGCAGCGAAAGCTTCAGGGGTGCCACCGTAGTTGAGGCAATTGAAGCCAATTGCCATCTGCCTCATGTATCCTTCGGACCCAGGCGCATTGGATTCGTCGAAAGAACGGAACTTTGGGTCTCCGGCCATCATACCGAAGTTCTTGGGATACATCTCGACAGTATCGCCTCCACGTTCTGGGATGTAGTAGACAAGCATACCATCTTTCTGGTTCACTTGAACGAGCTCACCACCAGCCTTCTGGAAGTAAAGTGTCGGGACCCAATAAATTGACTTGTCACCCTTCACTTCGCAGGAGGTGCAGGTAGACTCTTGAAGACGAGCCCAGGAGGTCGTCTTATCAAAAGCATCACCGCCCATGATATTATGCACATGCTTGGCGGGAGAGATACCTGGTTGGACCAATGGATCAATCATATCAGTCACAAGTGGAGAGCCGCACTGCATTCGCCAGAAGGCGTGGACTCCAGGGTTGAGCAGCAAGAATGCCGCGATCGAGAGGACGCTCTTCATCTTGAGGGATGCTAGGACGGTTCCTTGATGGTTGTGAAAGATGATAGAGCGGATGGTAGACAACGGTTAGATCAAGAGGGAGCGTGAATTGAAGTACGTCGGAATGGAAGGTGGTTAAGTAGATAAAAGGTTGATGAATGAGGAATGGAGCTGAAGCGTCGAGAGCAACGTCTTGTGTTGAGCTGTGTTTCTTTTTTGGTGGTGCGTGAAGAGGCGTGCAGTAGCGACCAACTATGACCCACTGTGCTCGATGCCTACAGCTTACAGCTTCCAAATACTCCGATGGACGAAGGCGAGATCGAAAAGTTCCTCAAGGGATAGGACCGAAGCAAGCGGCTAGAATGTAAGTTGTCGATAAAGGTGGGTTTTTAAAAGAGCGGACTGGGCAATTTTTTTTCTTTCCGATAATATTGGGCAAAAAGGCGAACCTTAGGAAGAAAATACCGGCGCAGACGGTAGACGGACGGACAATATGGATGGGAATGGGACAAAAGAAGGTGAGTGCTTCTTAGGAAGCAGTGAGTATATAAATGAATGGCGCAGGGACAGAAGAGAAGAAATCAAGGACTGCAATGCTCCACAGGAGGCTTTTCAATCTATCTTCCGCCAGCGAACGGGATCGGACTGTGATGTTCCCAAGACGAGAAGAAACAAAAGAAGAAAGTCTAGCAGGCTCAAAAAGGTCAGTCAGGAGGGGAATGAAACCGTTATATGGGTTCAGGTACCAAATGACAATCGCTTTGCCTGGGCAGGCCGTGGCATGCCAGGGTCTTGCTCACTAGCCTCTTCGCCTCCCAGCTGCCTGCATTCCCCAACTGTGTGCGCATGCATTCTGCCAGGAACCACTTCGTTCCTGCTTTTTGCTTTCTGGTCTGACCATATCGTGAGATCGCAGGACCCTCGGGCCTTGGCTTAGTGGGGTCGCATATAGATTAATGCATAGCCAGCTCACCTACATAGACGCAAGTCCGAAAAAAAACCTTTTTTCAGCGCACAAGCTTCTCTTCTCATCGGCAAAAACTTCGTTTCTTTTCTGCGACAGCGCCTGTGTCGACATTGACTACCGATTATTGCGAACGCCGTTCGCTCGAGCATCTTGCTTAACGGCCCCTTCGATTCATTTTGGGCGAGTCTGCGAAACGGTTGATGTCGACAAAATATGAACCTGCCCCAGAGCTGAAACCGACCAGTGAACATCCGAACAAAATTTTACTGTTAAAAAAAGAAAGTGAGCACTAAAAAAGCTTGTGCCTGGCATGTTGCTGGTTTCAGGGGCGCTTCCTGCCAGTGGTAATCGTCATCCGGCATGAGGGCTGGCCAATCACAGCCACCATTGTAGCACTAGAGCGAGAAAAGGGGTTGGGGCGCAAACAGCAAAAACTCCTCCATCCCACCTTCCAGAGCTTCGACGTCTGACAATAGCGGCCTTCCAGCTGACTGCTTAACTGTCTTCAAGGAGGAAAGCCGTCTCCACCCCGAAAAGCTTAGCCCTTTTGTTCCACTAAGTACGACACCGGCGAAACTTCGCCAGATGCGTTTTCGACTCGACAGCCGATGATGACGAAGAAACTCGGGTCGTAAAATTGGA